AATTAAGGCTCCAGTGAATTGTGAACATAAAATTCCAATTTTGAACCACTGTTCCAACAAATTTTTAACTACACCTTTGTTAAACCTTCTTTTTGTATGATACTCATATTTCAAAAGGTATTTGATCAGTCTAATTCCCTTAAATCAAGTTTAATTAAATTAAAAAAAAACAGGTGGCAACCCTCCTACATGTAGTTAGGACTTTAAGTTTCTTCAAATTTATTTAAACCATTGCATACTTTGAAAAAGGTGGCAACCCTCTTCAGAGTATTTGCAAATCCCAATCTCTTTCGTCTGATACCGATATAGTGATACAAATTTCAATTTTCTAATTGGCTTAATTTAAGTTAACTAAATTCGACTTTCCAAACGGATGGAATTTCTCCTAAATATAGTTTGGAAATAAATCTCTGACGTCTGACATTTATATATTTATTCCCATTACCCGACGGATTTAATTGAATTAGATTTTTTTTTTATGTGGCAGCCTTACTAAATATAGCTCAGAAATAAAACCGTTTTAAACCGTTAGCATATATAACCTTTTTATGTAAGTTTCTTTATATGAAATTTGCAATAACTAAACGAGTTTTTCCTCGAATTTTTGGCACTGCTTTTGCATTTCATGGCAGCGCTGCATTTACTCAGCACAGCGTGAAATTATTAAAACATTCATGCAGTTTAACTCCGAAAATAACTCACAGCGATGTAGGGCCAATATAAGTGGCTATGTATGAATGTACGAAACCTTTACTATTACCACTCGAATAAGCCATCATCATCAACTCAACATAACAAGTCTCCTCCACGGGCAATCATTTTTATCTTGACGATGTTATCAGACAACATTTTACAATGGAGACCACATATTGCTTATGGCAAGCAATAGTTTTTAGAGCTCGCATCTTCATATATATTGCGAGCAATTTGGTAGTATGATAGCTACATTTTCATTTGCGCGAAAAATTCTTGGAGGCAACATTATTGATTTTTTAATATAAAAGCAAAAATTAAGCGGTTTTATAAATACTGGAATATTTGTTATTATGTACTTGGATGTGAAATAGCATATTTAAAAAAAAAATTTAAGTGATTAAATATGAAAAAAATACTTTGTAGAAGCCATCTTACAAATGCTTTTGCCAAGGTAAAAAATGCCCACGCACATATATTGCCGCTGATGGATCAGGCAATAAAAAATGACAGTTGGTAGGCAATAGATTTTGCCTGTGCAGACGCGAAGTAAGCAAGAGTATCAGCCAGACATATACAGACATTAGGCTTGCATTTTCATGCACCTATTCATATGCTTCATACTAACAGTGTATCGCCATATATTTACCAGAGTTTTTTTGTTTGGTATTCGAGTTGCGCGTGGCAAATATGCGAAATATTTTTGCCACATAAAGTAGATGTTTGCTTTCATTCGTTTGCATATTTTCATAAGTGAGATAAATACTTCTGTTGATATTCGCTGTTGAAAACATCAAAAATATTTTTCATGCTTCGCTCATCAAAATCATTCGCTTTTTTAGTGCATCGGTAGTCAACAGAAATAAACCTCAAATAACAAAAATATTGACAACGTGAACAGGAGAGGAAAACTGAGAGCAGCTGCAATGACTAAATAAAGTATGCACATATGAATGTGCGTTGCATAAACCAGTGAACCAAAATGAAGGCTAGAAGTACTGCATAGCACTACACATAATTTCTATTTATAGAATGAGGGAAAAAAATATTCGCATATTTCGTTTTTGAATATAAAAATTTCTCGTAATGTTTCTTTTGTACGATAGCGAAATAGTTGACCAGTCAGTTTATTTTTGATTTCACGGAACGAAATTATGGAGTCGGGTTCCGAATATGTAGTTAAGGCACCAGTTCAATGTTTTCACCGGGAAAATAGACGATGTTACAGCCGATCTGTCAGAGCTCGCATTGTCATAATGATGAATGATTAGCTGAAGACTATTCATTCACAAATTTGGCCGCTCTACATATGTTTCTCTCAGCATACTGTTACCTGATGTCCAGTTTTTGCGAAAAAGTAGGCGTCCAATAGATTTTGTTATGATGTAATGTATACGTGTATATTATTCTTGTTCTAATACAATTTTTTTTTTGCTGAGACACGACAAAACCTTTCTAGTAAAAAAATCTTCTAATCTGTCAAAATCTTTGATGGTAAAGTTAGATTTTGCCTAGTATTGCCAGTGTTTTCAAGTCGAAAAATTTACCAGACAGAGAATTCACCTTCGGTGGGTGAGATCAACTAACTCATATTAACATCATTGCCGAAATTGCCAGCAGACTAATGAGCTGGAATCACCTTAACACTTTTTTCGCAAGTTCAAATTGAAGTACATTGGCTTGCATTTCTTAAAAAATTCCAAGCATATCTCTGATGTTGACATTAGTCATCATCGTAATTTTGTGATTGGCTTGTGCCATGCCAATCCCGTAGTACAATAGGTGACTATTCCTGTCGATTCCTGGCTAATTGGAACATCCACTCTCCTGTTCTGAACTAGTTAGTTTAAGAAATTAAGGAGTTATCAACATTCAAAAAATATTTTTTGATTTCAAATCTTTGTTTTTTTTATTGTTTGCTGGTTTTATACTAACATACATATTGGAACAGTATGAATGACACTTATTTTTCTCAAGGCTATCGAATTCACTTCGCTGACTGTTGGCTGATTTTTGCATAGTTGCCATGTCAGATATTAATGCCACATGGAGAGCAAATCCTTTTTATGTCGCGTACGCACATTCCTTGTGGTAAGCACGCTTTTAGACATATGACATGGGCAAAAACATACATATATTTCCATATATGTTCGCATGTATATAATTTTGACAAAGTAACCCATATGCATAACAATAAATTTTTAAGCAAACCAGTAATTTTTAAGCAAAAAACAAAACCTACTTCAATTCTCATATAAAAATTTAAGCCACCGTTAATTTCATCATGAACCAATATTCGGATCGAAACCAAAATAGTACGGGACCACCGCTGGGGTACCACATTTCCTTTAAAAAATAATTATAGAAATAAGTTATCGTGGTCCAAAGTTATGCGGTAACTTACTTAAAAAATAATAATAATATTGCGACGAATTGATAACCTCCTCCTTTTTTTGAAGTCGGTTAAAACTAGATGTCAGTGCGTATATTTGCACAATATTTTGTTCAGTATGCATGTCATAGTAATAGTAAAGAAGTTTATTTGTTTAGTTGAAATGAAGGCTAATCAAATATATTCAAAAATACATATTTGCATATGTATGTGCATTTGGCTGTATCACCAAAAAAAAAAATTTGCGGTTTTTCGCTGGGATTGCAAAGCTTATTATATTTGAAGACTTCCACTAAAATATTTCGGAAAAAAATTAAGATATATGGCAGATGGGCATATTTGAATATACATATGTACCACCAAAAATGGGGCGTTTTATGAATAAAAATATTTTCTTAAAGGTTTGTTTGAAACAAATCCGCTCCGATGACTAAGTTAAGTTTAAACTTAAAAAAAACTACATAAAAATAGTAAAAAAAATGTTCCACGGAATTATAATAATGAAATTTTTTAGGCTGTTTTTTTGAACTTTTTCAAAGATTGCTTTAAGAAAACTTGAATAACTGGCCCAAAACTATGCCGTTTTAGACTAGTGAGGTAGCAGTGGAAAGGTATTTTTTCACGTCCCATTTTTTTAACACCATTAATTTAGAGATGTAATTTAAATTTTATGTTTTTGGACATGTCATTACGCAACTAATAGGCTCGATAAGTAGAAAATGTTCAGTCTTACAGATAACCAAACTTCCCAAATAGGGCGAAGATATGTGTGGTTCCATCTGTATTTTTGTGTACCAACTGTATGAATTTGACGGCCGCTGTGGTGTAGTGGTAAGCAGTGCGCGCTTTCACTCATCAACAGCTGGGTTCAAGCCCTGGTCAAAGCAACATCGCAAAACAAATATAGAAAAAAGGTTTTTTCTTAACAGCGGTCGTCCCTCGGCAGGCAATGGCAATCCTCCGAGTGCATTTGTGCCATGAAAAACAGCTTCTCATAAAAATACAATCGCCGTTCGGAGTCGGCGTAAAACTGTAGGTCCCTCCACTTTGTGTAACCACATCAAGGCGCACGCCGCAAATCGGAGGAGAAGCTCGGCCAAAAACTATCACATATGTGTAAGCGCCAATCTATTATTATTATTATTAACTGTATGAATTGATAAGACTTTAATTGCGTTTTCTCACAAAATTGGAGTTTTGAAATACTTCGTTATATTACACTGGTTTACAGCAAAAATGTTCAATGGATGCCACTATACAATTCCTATATAGAATTGCTCACTGATTCCAAAAATCTAGTTTTTTTTATTCTATGGATAAGTTTGCGAGATACTTTAAATTTACCGTTATTCAACTAAAAAAAACATGGTTCCACTTAATCACGTATATTTTACGAACCAATTTAACAATCTTAATAAGAATACGGAAAATTAAAGGCAATAAAATTCTCCATAAACCCTGTATGCATCATTTTCCGATAGGACTTATAGTTTCTGACAAATTAATTACTCTTCCATTTTTTTATTTTTTATGAAAAAAAATAAAAAATTTAACTTTAACAGAAGAAACACATCACATTTCTTATTTTACTATTAGTTAATATTAATTTTTAGAGATGAATTTTGTTAAAAATTCAACAACTAACTAAAAGTAACGTAAAAAAATATAGAACTTATAAAAAAAAGAATGAAAAAGAAATAAAAAAAGTATACTGGCCGTGGGACTCGAACCCACGACCTTGCGGCTAGTTTATTCGCATTACTGCCGTCTGTAAGGGTAAAATTTTAATTTGCATTTATGCTTATTAATTCAAATTAATTTTCTCCGTCTGTCTACCATATTAGACGTGTTTGTCACTCATACGCCCTGGCATGTTAAGAGACTTGTAAATGCGTCAAAATGAAAGACGTGCGACTAGAATTCAATGATTACAAAATTTATTAATTCAGTAAAAAATAAAAAAAATGCCGTTGTAGGTTGCTAAATAAATATGCCTCAATGGCGTTATTGATAATGAACTCACTTTGATATACGAGTGTTGGTAGCGGCACGTAGATTAATAAAAAGATTAAATAAATAATTATGTACAATGAAAACAAATTTAGTGTTTTATATTCTATGAGCGTGGTGTTCATGTCCTCAACTCTTTTAGTTTCTCGAAAGTTAATGCGGCACTACCGGAAAGCTCTCGTATGCGCCGTTAGACGTTGTTCCGAGCATTGGTCGTCTTCGGCTATAGGCGGCAGAAGCATAATGGCGACGGCACTCAGGCGGCAATCGTATGGTGGGATCTTCCTAACCAGCGGCAGCTATCTGATGACTCGCAAGTGCCAATCTTGTGTGCCAGAACGGCAGGGAGCGAATACAACAGCATAGTCGTCGACGTTGATTTGGCTCCATCCTTAATCTGCGGAATAAAAAGGTCGAAAAATCAATTAGTGGTGTGCAATTGTTTTTCTGTTGGATGTGTGAGTGTGTGTGTTTGTCATTTGTATAGTGTTAATTATGTGGCTTCTAAAAACTACCGAGAGGTGAGATATTACATACAATGAGGATAACAAGCACAGGATAATGCCGCACCAAAATTATTTTCCGATATGGGTGGAGGCTGGTCACACACACGAGCCTCTACTCATTTGGCGGCCGAAAATTAGCATTTTAGCATATTATCTTCCGCTTAGAGCATAAATCTTTATTCAAAACGTAAAAAAAAACTAATAAATTTCACTTTTTCAAACGCGTTTTATTATCAAAACAAAAGAAGAAAACGAATGTAAAATTAAGTAAATGGAAGTAAAAAACTAACTGAAAACTAAAAATAACAAGCAGTCCGCGTTTAGCCGACAATCTGCTAGGGACTCCATTCAGTCTGTTTTGTTCCCAGCGTTGTCCCCTAGTTGCCGGCTCTGATAGGAAGCCAAAAGTATTTCCGGCCTATCAACCGACTAGATACGACTGCTACTTCTAAATTTTCATTATCAACTAATAAATTACAATTTTTGACACATTTACGCCACCACACTCTAATATATACCACGTATACATATATGCATACTCGTAGATATATAACAATTACTTGAACTCTTGGTTACTCCAACTTTTACGCATTTGCTTCATTCATTCAGTTAGTAAGTTTTTGCTAACAAATTTTGGCACGACCGCTTAAAACTTTGTGATCTAACTGATATGTATGAGCGTGCGTATATATGTGCATATGTATTTGTGTAAGTTTGTGATGTAAAACATAAGTATACCGCCTCTTGAAAAGCCAAGTCCCTCTCTATTAAACTTCACGCAAAACCACGGCTAGACAGGATGACTGGCTCTCCCCAAAAATATTTACATTTGTATGTTTGACTGCTTTTTTGCAGGTTTCTCGCTTTTATTTGGTGGCGTCAGTGGTTGGAAGCTATTGTCGGTGACAGCTTGAGAGGATAAAATAGTGCTACAAGTCATAAGTTATTTAAGTTATGCATGTGCTCTGATTTATAGCAATGACCCAATACTTGCGTACATATGTATATACAGCTGTCCGAAAAATAATAGGAGTGCAATAATTTGATTTTACTTAATGTTTATTATTTTTTATAAAAGTCTAGCTGGTTATGCAACAAACACCTTATAAATTCAGATTTCAAACTGTGCACAAAAAGTTCTAAACATCTGCAAATTTCCTGAATCTTTAGAAAAATTTGGTATGCAGTTTTGTAGCCTATTTAATTTTAGTATGATGAAGTGCACATTTTAAGCTGCTACAAAATCCCGTTGATTTTTGGTAATTTTTTTTTTTTTAAAGAATTTTCTATTTTATTTGATACCCATTTTGTTGTTCCTTTCTGTACGAAATTTCTTAAATAATTTTTTCACTACATATTTAATCATATTTTTAAAATTCAAGCTCCTTGCAAAAAAAATCTATCACGTAGTTTTTCAATATTGTTCCCATACTTTCGCGAGTATATAAATTTTTCTTTAGTGTAAAATTTACTGTCGCACGGTATAATCACAACGATTTTCGTTATTTTTTTTTTAAATAAAGCTCAACCCACAACAAAAACCATATAAACCGAAATTTCAAACTTTGGAAAAAGCCAAGGAAAATTCAGCAAATTTCCTCAAAATTTGTTGTGCGAATTTTTACAAACAAATCTTTTTATATGAATGAAAATGAATGACACCGCCAGCAAACAAAAAATATCAAAAATCGACGGGATTTTTTAGCTACATCGAACCTGCGCTTTATTGTAATGAAATGGAATGTATATGTATTCGATTTTTCTTTTCAATTCTGATCAAAAAGTTTGAAATATTGATGAAATTTTGCTGAAATTTTCTTGATTTTGTTGTGAATTGAGATACATATATTCATTTATTTATTAAGTAGAAAAAAGCTACAATATTTATGTTATCGCACAATTTACAGAATATGGTATAAACCTTAATTCTACATCATTATATTTATATTTTTATCACAGGTTTTAGTTTTTAAATAACGATTTTTTCGGAGGAAAAAACTACTATGAGAAACCTCCGCTTTAATAAATTGAGATACATATGTTTTAATAAAGAATTAACGAAAAAAAATGTACCATGAAAAACATTACGAATATCGATAAAAGGTAAATGCAGGTAAATGTAAGTTATTTTACGTATTTAGGTAAAGTGGTGACTCCATGCTTTACTTTGTACTTAACATTCATTCACCCATAGCAAAACAAGAACAAGCATATTTAATAGCGGCCGCTGTGGTGTAGTGGTTAGCAGTGCGCGCTACCACTCCGCTGGGTTCAAGCTCCGTTCAACCCTACAACCAAAAAATAAAAAATAAAATTTTTTTTTTCTAATATCGGTCGCCCCTCGGCAGGCAATAGCAAACCTCCGAATGTATTTCTGCCATGAAAAACAGCTTCTCACAAAGTCGGCGTAAAACTGTAGGTCCCTCCGCTTTGTGTGACAACATCAAGGAGCACGCCTTCGGCCAAACACTAACCTATGTGTAAGCGCCACTCAAACACTCTAGCGAGTATATACGAGTACGGCCATGTACGATATGGCATTTGAGTAATATTATTTCCTGCTTTAATACGAAAGAAAAAGTATTCCAGGAATTTGTTACTTTTTTATGTATTTTTTCTTATTAAGTTTTGAATTTTTTTATAAAAATTAAAATTTCTTGGGATAGTCTGTGACCCAATAATAAGTTTGCATGTTTTGACTTAACAACTTGTCTATAGCTCGCTGGCAACAAGTAGCTAGATAAACTTAAATTTTCACTTTTTGCAAGTGTTTGACTAGATTTTTTTTGAGCGTCTGCATTACGCCTGGCTGTCGGAACAAGTCTTTTCTCTGTGCTTTTATTTCAGGAAGAGAAAGCGCTTTTGGCTTTTTGCTTTTCATTTTTAATATTTATTTTGGCAATTTTTTTTGTAGACTTGCAACAAATAAGTTTAGGTACATTTTTGTTAGCAGGAATAATGTTTCGACTTGCGCAGGAGTGCACTGAAGGTTGTATTTTTTTGCTTTTTTCCTATTTATTTTATTTTTTTGTAGTGCAGTTGAAGGTAGGTTTGCTGTTGACTTTGGCCCATTTCGAACACATATGAAACTACATATATATGTACATATATTGCCGGACAAATAAATAGGACCACGACATTTTGTCAAGTTTTGACCATTTGTTAATTTTTTATGAAAGTCTAGCTCATTATCTAACAAACATCATAACTATACAAAAATTCAGACTTTGTGAAAATATTATAAAATCTCTGCAAAGTTTCAAAAAAATTTCAAACTTTTTAATCAGGACCTCTAGACAAAATTTGGGCACTCAGCACATTAAATTTTCATATAATATAGTACCAGCTTGACATAGTTGTGATGTACCATTAATTTTGGGAATTTTTTTTTTCATTTTCTTCCATATAAAAACAAATTTGCGAACGTACATACTTTGTACGAAAGAAAATGACTAACACTGTCAATAAAAAAAATCCTAAAATTAGCGGTAAGTCCTACCTCAAATTTGCACTTGAATCGACTACAAAATCGGTTAAAAAAATTGTTACAAAAGATTTTGATTAAAGTTTGAAATTTTGGTGAAATTTTGTTGAAATTTCGCTGAATTATTATAATTTTTGCACAAAGTCTGAATTTCGGATATATGTAATATTTGTTAAATGAGCTATACTTCTATCAAAATTAATGGACATTAAACAAACAAAATAAAAGCAGTCAAAACGTGTCATAATTCTGTGACGCTATTAATTTGTCCTACACTGTATATAAGTATGTGAGTACACAGTAGTTGAGTGAGTTGTAAAATCGTGCAGTAGTCATGCAGACGTCACCGGGTGTTTGTTTGCTTTACAAGTTTCTATTTAAATATCCTCATAAAAAAATTACTTTCAATGCACTGTTTTTGTGCACTTCGCAGATTCTTTTTCGAATTCAGGACAAATATAATAAAGATCGAAATTTTACATTATTATTTTGATGTTATGTCTGATGGAATTCAAATGTGGGACCACCTACAAAATAACATGTAACCAAATAAGCAAATACATATTTAATGCCAAATAAAATAAAGAATCAAATAAAAAAAATAGAAAAAATCTTATTTTATTGATAGTTTATGTCAAAAAGTAGTTAGTAACAAATTAGTTGGCATCTATTGCAGAGGAAACCTGGATTTTTTGTTTTGCGGACATCGCCCTTCAAAAGTAGTTAGTTACGGCCAAAGGAAATAGTTAGTAAATAGTTACCACTAGCCGACTGCTAGTTAGTTAATAGTTAGCTACAAACTAGTGCCGTTTCCTGCAGGGAATCGTCTAGGACCGTATTTCCTACACATAAATATATGAGTGCGCGGCCACATGTGTTCAGCCAACTGCTATTTGCAGTTTCGAAAGTATTTTGTCGCCTTTTAACGGATTAAGCTGCAAAAGTTCTTAAGTTAAATCTACTAGCTGTCTTACTTTTGTTGGAGAAAAGTTTTTTAAATTAAATATTTCATTTTACTTTGTGATTGCCTAAAATTCAGAAAAATTATTTTGTTGTTGAGAATAGATTTAAAGTGAAAATGCTTACCGCCGGTTTAACCAGCGATTTAAATGGAAAATGATTTCCTATTTTCTGTCAATTTCTAAAGAAATTATATTCTTATTCTATACGCATTAGTAATTTTATCAACAACTGCTTTTATTATATGTAGAAGTACATGCGTGGATACTGGCAGGCCATTGTAGGGGGTGCATATACAGTTCGCAAAAAAAAGGCTGCCTTCGATTCTGATTGGACAGCCCTTGAAAGCAAACTGCCAAAATCGAAACTGAATTGTTAATAAAACGGCTGAATTGTATGGCGGAGGGAAAAATTTAGTAAAGGCCATAGCGCCGAGCTTCCCTTGAATTTGGCGTGTCGTAGTCTGCCGTGTTTCTTTCTTATTTTTCGGCTGAAGAGCGATAATACATATGACATATATACAAGTGGTGCTTCGCGACTTAGTACTAACCAACGCACAACCGTTACACTCGCCTATGTGGCGTCCCCTGGTGACCTGTCAACATTTACAAATTTATGGCTATCTCGAAATTTGTATACGTGGTCAAGCTCAGCTGAAGCAGTCCAAGTAGCGGCAGTTGAATTCTTTTCGCTTTTTATTACTGTTGGATAATGTGACGATTGGGCAGCCAAGCGGCCAAGTAGGCAGGCAAGCAGGCAAGCAGGAAAGCAGGAAAGCGGACGCTTTAACCAGCTCCAAAATGTACTAGTTAGTAATGTGGCACATGGTGAAACGGTCTAGTCGGCAAAATACCCGACTTCAGGAACGGATTTTTGAATAAGACCTCCTATTTGAAAGCTTTATTAGAAAATTACAAACGAGGGGTAGGAATCTTTTAATAGACGCGTAGCCTTTAATAGCCGTGTGTATCCAAGCCACCAAGGCCAAAAAAGAAAACAAATCGTAGTAGACACAACGATGTCTGTTTACTGCAAAGTTAAGTTCAAACTGTTTCATGTAAATTTGAATCAGAAGGCCTGGAAACTCTGGCCATTCCATACAAAAGAAAGGGGAGCAAATAATCGAACAGGGAAGTCCTATCGCTTCAAAAGATCCGAAATAAGAGCTGCCAGAAGGCCTCATAGTTTCTAATTTTTCCGACTGGGCATGTTGATATGGACCTACTACATCCATGAATATGAATTTATATACATATAGTACATACGTAAATAACACGGAAGGAGGAGAATATTGATGGTGCCAAATGTCGAAAAGTTGAAATGAATAACTCATTCAAAGCCAGACAGGCACGTACAGGCAACCATTCAGATTAAGAATTGAAGGAGGACATGCATTAAATAATAGCTTACTACTGAAAAATGTTTATTTGAAGGTGAAGTTTAATGTATAAAATAAGTAAGAAATTCGTTCGATAGTAAAACAAATTCTAGAAACAAAATAAGACCATATATTGAACACTTAAATATATATTCTCATATGTTTATGCGAATATTTAAGTTTAATATCGACTATATTTTTTCTTGCTTTAAAGAGTTAGGTTGTCAGATGTGCCCATCATTTTCTTACATTTCAATTTCGTCCAAACAATGGCTGGTTCGCTGGGTTAGGACCCGACAGCAAGTGAATATGCCTGAAGAGACTCGGATGATTACCCCCTCAACGTTGACGATTATCGGAAACGAAACAAGGAGTACTATTTCTGGTTAAGCGTCTGGTCTGCGTTATGGTGTGTCGTCACCGCGACATTAGCTTAACATAGATGCCACGATGGGATTTGTGGTTAGGCACAGACTCCAATAGTTTGTTTAAAGGTTCACAGTCCGCATAAAGCCAAATTCAATAAAATCTGCCCAATTTATGTACTCGCTACGACACCTCATAATACCCCTTGTTCCAAACCAGGTATGTATTTTTTACAAAATTCTAGAGCTTAACTTTTCCATAAAATGATCAACCAAGAGTCTGACTTTGCAATAACAAATCAAATAACTCAAATTTATCTAATTACTCGCAAATAACCTTTAAAATTTATAAATTCACTTACCTTCAACACCAACGCCAATTGACAGCTACAATATTAACAAAACAGCGATGTGAAGTAAATAATAATCCTGGCTGTGCTTCGAAGCCGTCACAACAATTCCGGCGTTGCTATCGGGCAACACTGTGCAACAACGACGACGTGCTGCCACTGTTGCGTGACTTGTTTACAACACGACAGCTGTTTTGACCGGCAACAGAAATACATTTCTGCCACCGGTGCAAGCGTTGGTACTTATGCTCCTTCTGTTCCTTTGATTTGTGTTAGCAATTTTCAATTTCGATTTCGATTTCATACTGCCGTGACCACAACAAAAAATCAGCAATCATTCGACCAAACGAGCGCTCGACCAGCCGACGAACGAAGCGCACGAGGTGGCACTTGGCAAGCAAGGTAGCTTAAGTAGCTCAAGAACGCTGAACTTGAACTTGCATTTTGACGGACAGGTTTGCGGCAGCGTTGCACGAGACGATGAACGCGTGCGGGAAATTCAACCTTTACACTACAGTTGGTTTGCTACGAATTTTTTGCTTTTCTATTTCGCTTCATTACTTTCATTTCGTTTATGTTTTTCACAATTGTTTTTTTTTTTAATTTTTAGTTTTGTATTTTTGTGAGCTTATTTTCTTCGAGCACGATTAATTTGCGTGCTTTCAACGATGGCAGCAGAATTGTGATGCTTCGGACGATGAGTGGCATAGTGTGGCTCGAGATTTACTTGGCTCTTAGCTGTACGTTTATGCTTCACTATTGTGCAACAATCACTCGTTCATTCTGCATTTGTGTGTTTTCGCGTGTGCCTTTATATAGCTCGAGACGTGTTGCGGCCCCTAAAACAGCGCTGAACTAAACTAGGATAAGCGAACCTTGTACTTGAGCTACATGCTGCATGCGACAAGGACATGTAACGTTGTATTCATGGTTGCGACAGCAGCGTGAGGTTAGAGAATTTGGAGGCGGCCACGTTGGGTGAACGCGACGCGGATGAAATTAAAAAAAAATCGCATGAATATCTCTAGCTTTTTTAAAGTCCTTGCGGTATAAATTTGCGCCAGTTGAAATTTTTATGAGCGTCTTGATACTTTCAGCTCAATTTATCACTTCGTATTTTATTGCTTGTTCTGCCGCGTTTCGTTGCAAGATACTTGCGGCACGTGCACACACACACACACACTTCTGTTTGGTTGCAGCAACGCCCTCCTGCTGCTAGACTTTTGCCGATTTTGTGTTTTACAGTTAGTCGTATAATAAAATATTTCTGGTTTCAACTTGTATTTGTGTTGCTTGCAAGCCGGCGGCAAGTATGTTGCATAATACATATTTGCTGACTATTATTTATGTTTATGATTTTGTTTCTATCTTCAATGCTGCTGAGAAGTTTCAAGTGTGGTCCTTGTTGCATGTTCGCTCTTTCGCAGCGCATCTTCTGTAGTGGACCTGCTGACATTTTCACTTAAGCATCCTACAAGTGCGATTGTTGACTTCCTTTTTGCGTCGACATCTCCTACTGACTGTCAGTTTAGCGTTGGTACTTATGCACTTTACTTTGGGCGTCCATATCCTGCTGCTGTTGCTGCTTATGCAACTGTAAATAAAAATTTGAGAAGCGGAAAAGTTTAAGTTAGAAATTGTAAACAACTTTTTGATAAGTTCTTGTGTCATAGTTTCTTGATATTATCCTTTGTTTTTATTGTTATGTACTTGTGTTGTAGTTCTTGTTGTAGTAAGTTGACTATGTCCTTTTCATAGCTGGAAGAATTTGTCCCTCATTCTGTCCGATTTGTCGGGGGTTTTTATCACAAAGTTATGAGAAATTATGGCAAATAAGTTGCAAGACACGGACGTTGCTGCTTGGTTGACTTAGCTTAAAGGCAACAGTGGTCGGAGCCAAGAGTGCAGGAGAAAAGATGGCGGAGGATCTTAGCTTTTTTAGAAAAAATTAGTTGGAGTTATCTACGACCTCTGCAGGGAATGAATGAAACCGATGAAGTTACGGTGGTCAGCTATTTCTCAGCCTGTGCAGTTTTCTAATGATAAAGGGAAAGTATTAGGGCCTGTCTAGTAGTCAGTTTTGAGCAGGCAGGCAGCTGTAGAATAGAGGTCTACCACACCAGCCTTCAACATTTGAAAACTCTCATCCGGAAAAGCAGCAGAAATAAGAGCCAAGTCGAGTTCAGAAGGCGAGCAGTGGCTACAGGAACTCACGCTTCATCGCTAAGAAAATAAGGCACAAAAATCCATCGAGCCGCAAGTTAGGGAACAATGAATATATGGAAAATTATGCGAAAAGAATAAAACAGCCATCGTGCAATATGGAGTTTAGAAGTTGGGTGGCGGACGTATGGGCGCGGAAACACCAAAGTGACTAAGTAAACTTCAACGAATTTAAGCTGACAAATGTTTCAATTAAGTTTGCTTAGCAGACTTCGAGTGTGGTATCGCCGACGCTGCTACGGAATGCATTACTATCTGAATAAATATTTATGGACCTCCATATGTATATGTGTATGTATGTGTGTAAATCTCCATACTACTCCGCTCCGCATCTCGATTGCTTTACTGGCCGCCCATTGTTTGTAGATTTGTACGCATTTCCTGCGATTTGGATTTACATTTCAATTTCCTGCGCGCGCGCGGATGAACAGATAAATGGTTGAACGGTTGAGTGGCAGCTAAGTGAGTATGTATCGTTTCAGTGTGATTTTCGTGCAAAATTTCCTGCGTCCTATCCGTTTGCATATCCTGCAGGTAATAATTTCGGATGTGGCCAAAATAAGTAGGGCACCTATGAGTATTTTTTGTTGTTGTAGGCATTGCTGCCCCTTTCACACACACACACATTCGCTTTCATCTATTTTCTCAACAGTTTTTTAGGGATCCGGAAATTTTGCCAAACAAATTGCGCGTATATCCTCCGGTTGCTCAAACCGCAGCATCGCTTACAAAACCATCGTATATATGTACGTATGTGCACACGTCAGTCAAGCACAAACAATAGCTGCTAAACTATTTTGGGTCGCTTGTAATTGCCTGGTGCCTTTTGAACCTTAAAATTCCCTACCAAATATGATTGCAGCAACGCAAAATTGTTTGCTTTGTTGCCTCATTCAGTAGCACGCACTTGCTTGCATAGCTTCACAACTTTAGTGGCATGCTTTTGTCACTTTAAGTTTGCTTTGTTTGGTTTACCTTTAGCTTTGTTTTTAGGTTATTTACTACCTCCTTTGTACATTTCTGCAAAAGACGCCATTCAAAGTGGCATGCCACGCATACTTGATTTTCTGTGCCAGTGGCAACATACTTTAGTGTTTGCTTTTCCATGCCACACATATTAATTGCGCTGCTTGTTTTCAGCCTGTTGGTTTTCAGTACCACTTGTTTTATATATGTATGTAGTTGCTATGGTTGGTGCACACGTTTCAAATGGGAGTATCCCATTCGTCCTATTTTCCAACATTCAACTAGCGCAAAACGCTTTGTTTTGCTTTCCTTCATATTACAGCTTCTCATGAAAGGTTCTGCTTAAGAAAAGGCTTAACAAACGCCAACGTGCGCTTTGTTTTGCTAACAAAAAAGCTAAGTTACTTCACATTTTCCTGCAAAGCTCAACACTAATAGCCTCCATCTCGAGCAGCTACCTTCAGAGCTCACAAAAAAAAATAAATTCAAATCTAAAACAAAAGTCTTCCAGCTTAATTCGCCACAGGTTGCTATGTAATTGCTCAGGAAAAAGTGACGGAAACGCACACTTTGCCACTTAAGGAGTCGCATAAACACGACCTCAAATTTATTTATTTTTTTTTTTTACCGACGGGGATTGCATTCCACAACTTCTCATTTGTCCACCTTTCGTCTCTCCTATTTCGCGTTAATTCATTTCATTTCTAAAAATAAAAGTTGTCCCTGCGGCTACTCCTCTCTGCTTCAATCGCACAACTATTCTTTAATCCAACCGCCAGCACAGTCACCTCTCAGTCCGTCGACCGTGCGTCCATGCGTCGACTGGCTTGTCCGTTTGTTAGTCGCAAAAGTGTTGCTCGTTTTGTTAGTGGCAGTGGAGCAACCGTCGCCTCGCAAAGGGTCGTCCGCATTCGTTCATTGTCATGGAATGTTGACGGCGTTAACAACAGCAAAACGCTGGCGATGGCTGCAGTCACTTCAGATCCATGGGTAGGAGGATGTTGACGTTGATTTTATAAATGCATCCGGTGTTACAGCTGTGTACGTATTTATGTACTTTAGAGTTGTCCTCAGTTTTCTACATCTTTATTTTGGTAGAATGTATGTATGTATGTACCTATGCTGTTGCTCGACACTCTAATTTAAGAGTTGCTGAATTAGGACACCATAAAGCACGGCACCGGCTTTGTTTTTTTTAGGTTGCACAGAACACAATGCTCTGGCTTATTTTATTACTGAAAACATTTTGAAAAACGCATGCATTTACGAGCCATTACTTTTGGGAGGGATTTCGTAAAAAAAATTATGTCTTGAAGAAGAAGCTAAGAAGAATTCGAGGAATTTTTTATTTTCTTTCTTTCTTCAGAGATATGATCTATCAAAGCTCGAAAGTTTTCGTCATTCCGACTGGTAATCTACTTTTTCAAATCGTTATATCTCGTGATCTGCTCCTCGTAGAGACTTCATATGAATGTCGTTTTAAAGCCAAAGAAACGGGCTTTATATTCCTTTATATAAGAAGGTTATGATTTTACTAAAGCTAACATAGCTATTACCAGTTGAACTTTTCCAAGTTCATTTGCATAGCGAAGACCAGTAAATTAAGGATTTAAAATTTCGCCATCGTAATCCTTGTTTAGCCGCCCGCATTTTTAATTGTCCATTGCCACTGTCTACAGGCATTTGAGCGAAGCTTGCAGCATGTTGCATGCAACAATATATATGCATATATTTTTGTAGTGCTAGCTGCAAATATTTATGTGTGTATGTTTGTACAAACACCGACTTATTCCCCAATGTACCCTGCAGGGAAGGCTACTAGTTGTGAACTAAGCTTCTAAAAATTTGGTTTTCAGCCCAACTAGTTCACGTTCTGTCCTTTTTCAATGTTAGCGCCTGGTATTTTTAACATTGCGATGTCCTACGAGATGTCAGTTATCAGGCTATGCATCAGCATCTACTAGTAGAAATACTAGTAGTATCATACCAATGGATCAGATAGTCTGCCAATTCATCCCCCGTGAGAAGCATAAGTATGCCTTTTTGCTTGCGGCGCTCCAACAGTCGCAATGG